GAGGAGGAGGAGGAGGAGAGGAGGAGAGGAAGAGGAGGAGGAGGAGGAGGGAGGAGGAGGAGGAGGAGGGAGACCCGTCGCCTTCTGAGGAGGCCTGCCCCCTCTTCCCTCCCCCACCTCGGCGCGCTGCCGAAACGTATCCCCGAGAACCAGCGCGGGGTCGCCTCCCTGTCGTAGGCCTCCAGCCTCCGGCGCGCATCCGCGACCTGCTGCCGCAGCGCGTCGGCCTCGTGGCCTACCTCCGCGGCCAGAGACGTAACGAGCAGAGGGGGGGGAGGGGTCTTCTAATCGGCACTGGAGGAGGGGGAGAAGGCGGAGGAGGAGGAGGAGGAGGAGGAGGAGGAGCACTGACTACCAGGACTGTTCTTCTTATCGGCATCGCTCGCGTTACTGCTGTGTTTCTTGCTGCTTGAATCATGTGGCTTCTCTGCTCCTCTTCTTACTGCTCCTCTTCCCAATCTCCCTCTTATGCTATGCGCATGTCTATATATATATATATGTGTGTATGTGTGTATGTGTGTATGTATGTATGTATGTATGTATGTATGCATGCATGCATGCATGTATGTATGTATGTATGTATGTATTTATGTATGTATGTATGTATGCATGCATGCATGCATGCATGTATGCATGTATGTGCGTATATATATATATGTATGCACATATATATATATATATATATATGCGCATGCGTCCTCGACTTCAGCGACTTCGGCGTTGATCGGAGGGGCGGGAGCGGGGGCACGAGGGTTTTTGGCCCATACGGGGCCCCAAATCTGGCCATTATCGGCGCATTCCCCAAAAACGCCGATGACGGCATTCCTTGTGTGAGTCCAACCGGCCGGCATACCAGCCAGCGTTGACTCCAAATAGATAGGAGGACAGGAGGAGGACGAGAGGAGGATGGGAGGAGGACGAAATGAGGACGGGAGCAGGACGGGAGGAGCGCAAGCAAGCGCAAGCAAGCAAGCGGAAGCACGCAAGTGGAAGCGAGCAATGACAAGCAAGCAAGAGACAGCGATCAATTGCAAGCAAGCAAGGGCAAGCAAAAGCAAGCAACCGAGAGGTGGCGCATAGGCATAGTTATAGGCATAGGGGTAGGCATTGGAGTTAGGGGGGAGGCCTAGGCATAGGTACAGGTGTAGCCATAGGAATTAGGGGGGGGGGCAACGGACCAATTAGTAAGGTTTGAGCTAGGACTCCTATAGGGCACTCCCACTTGGAGAACTTCAGGTCGGCAGGAAAAAGGGGACTAAGAGGCATGCGACATTTTCGAAGACTGTCGGCGGTTTCCTGACATCCATAGCTGGGCGTTCTCGGAGGCCTTGGGGACAGATGAGGCCCAGGAGGGGGGGAGGAGGAGGATGAGCAGGAGGATGCACGAAGACTAACAGGAGGAGGAGAAGGAGAAGGAGGAGGAGGAGGAGGAGGAATAGGAGGAATAGGAGGAGGAGGACATATGGGAGACTTGCTCCCTCCTGCCTCCTTCCTCCTCACTCTTCCTCGTCTGAACACGCAACAGAATAGTAATGGAATCGGGTGGACATTCACGCCGTGAAGCTTCCCGCTGGGCCTCAGGCCGGACGAGCAGCCGCCGCGCCGCCGGTGGGGGCGGCTGCTCCTTCAACGGCAACCCAAACCGAAATTACACGAGACTTGCCCCTCACCCTTCCCGGGCAGGGGGAGCAAGCATGGAGAAGAAAAGGAGGCGCGCTGATGTTCGTTCGATCCGCCGACTGGGTGTCCCAGAGGGCCTCGATCCTCAAATGACCCTATCGTGTGGTGCGCAATCAAACAAGGGAGCTTCGTACACTGGGCGAAGATGACGATAACGGGGAAGGGAAGGAGGACGAGGAGGAGGGAGCGCGCGCCCAGGCGAACATCGCAAGAGCATACTTTGCTTGGCTTTGATAATCAGGTGCGAAAGCGATCGCTGCCCCGCCATCCACGCCATGTCGGAGGAAGTAGGCAAAGCAGAAGGTAGGACGGCGATCAAGCAGATCGGGCGCAGGCCCTCCCAGATAATAACAAACCACAGCAAAACATGTCGTCTCCTGAAGTAGGAAGGAGCTCGAAGTGGACTGGGATGTGGGCATCCCAAAATACATACTCTCAACGACCGGGGTGTACACTACCCACACATCTTTCCACCGGGCACCATGCAAGAACGTTGCGCGCGCTCTCGCTGAAACCACATGGAAACCACCTGCACCACCCAACCGCGTATTTTTCCACTGGGCACCATGCAAGAAAGTTGCGCGCGCGCGCTCGCTGAAACCACGTGCCCTGTACTTTCTCGGACTTCCGGTGCCCGCGCCTGTGCGGGCCACACGCTCGCGCCCACGGCGACACCGTCCGACAAGCACCGCGCATACAAGGCGGGCCACACGTGCGCCGTCTCCGCGCGCGCACGCCGAAGTCCTTCCCAAGCCAAGGGCTTTCCAAGCGTTTGGGCACCTCGCCAGCGTCATCATTGCCTGCGTCGTCATCATCACCATCACCATCACCATCACCATCACCCTCACCGTCCTCCTCCTCCTCCTCCTCCTCATCATCCTCATCCTCATCCTCCTCCTCCTCATCACCATCATTATCATCGTCACCATCACCATCACCATCACCATCACCATCACCATCACCACCACCACCATCATCATCATCATCATCATCATCATCATCACCACGATCACGATCACGATCACGATCACGATCACGATCACCATCACCGTCATCACCGTCATCACCGTCATCATCATCATCATCATCATCATCATCATCATCATCATCATCATCATCATCATCATCATCATCATCATCATCATCATCATCATCATCGTTATCACCATCATCAGCATCATCGTAGTAATAATCATTATCATCACCATCACCACCGTCAGCATCAGAACCGTCGCCATCACCAACATCGTCATCGTTATTGTCGTCGCCCGCAAAACCATCGTTACCATCACCGCCCGCGTCATCTCTGCGGCCGTCATCGCCATCATCTTCACCACCATCACCATGGTCGTAGTCATCCCGCCGTCGTCATCAAAATTACCATCGCAAGCGCCATCGTTGTTGAAGCCGCCCTCGTCGCCACCGCCACCATCACCAATATCATCATCAGCACCCGCCCACCCGAGACATACACCTGTATCAGAAAGACCCTCGCGTCATTACGCCAATCGAGTTCTGCGAGCCAGTTGCCGGTGGGTGGATGAGATGTTGATGCGAGCATGGGGGGTGGTTGGTCAATGGGTCACGTGCGGAGGCCAGCAAGGTACATTGCACCCCAATAGATTGCATCACCTATTGCATCGCGTAAACTACAGCACGCAATTTGCAACACGTCGGTGCACCATACACGTAACTAATCACGCAGACGGCACATCCTGCATTACAATCTATGCGGACTGAAAGCGTTGAAATGCCAGATTTCTAGAGCCAACTCGGCCGTGTGGACTTCAGCCTGAGACGACGCAAAAACGCATGGCGTGACTTCTTCACGACTCACAGATCTGGAGGTCCTCCTCCCTCGGCATCACTTTTGGGTCACTGTGGCGACAATACCCCCCCAGGAGATGTCACACTTCACCTGCTCCTTCTCCTCCTCCACCTCCTCCTCCCTCCCTCCCTCCTCCAAGCTTCCCGTTTCCTCGCTCCTTTTCCCTCCTCCCTCTCCTCCATCTCCTCCTCCTCCTCCTGTTCCCCCCCCTCTCTCCACCTTTCAGACGGCTCGGCCGCGGGACCTCTCCAGAAGGCATTCCGACCTGCACGTCGATGGGAATCCAGCCGTGGCGACGAGGAGTTCTCCCAAGAGGCACCCAGACGCCCCCAAAACCTTGATCTTCCAATCCTCCGACCCTCGAGGAGCATCAGGAGGAGAGGCGGGGAGGAGGAGGGTACGAAAGGTGTGGGGAAGGACTTGGGAGAGGAGGGGGAGCAGGAGGAACGCGAAAGGGGGCAGCGGTCGTCTTCAACATGGAAACCCCGTCCTATCTTTTTTCGAACCGCCGATCCACAAGGAGGTGGGAATCTCTCCGCCGCTGCGGTTTCGGCCGCCCTCCCCCGTGGTCCTCGGGCAGCGCCTCCGCGGCGGCGTCCGCCTCCTGGACCTCCCGGCGCCGAGCCTCCTCCTCCTCCTGCCTTCTTCTTCTTCTTCTGCTGCTCCGTCTCCTCCACTCCTCCCCCGACAAATCCCCAAGATGTGTGGGGGCCTCAGCGTGCGCGTGTCCACCGAAGCCCGTCACGGCGACGCAGGCGATGCAATAAGGGCCGACGCAGGCTGCATGCTATGTGCGTGTGTGGGGCTGAACGGGGCAAACGCGTACACACAAACAAACGCAAACACACAAACACAGACACATCCACATTCACACGCACACTGTCGCACACGCACACACACACATTCACATTCGTTCACACACAGACGCACAATAACACACGCACTCTGAAAGGATGACATCCAATTCAAAATCTTTAAACTGAGACATCTGTAGACCTTGAAGTCTCCCTCGAGGCCCTCGGAAAGCACCAGGAAGTTCCCCACGAGACCAACGCAAAGCTCCAGAAAGTTACCCTCAAGGCCCAACGAGAACACTTGAACGTTCCCTCCGAAGTACCACGGGGACGCGCAGGACTAGGCCCGAGGTCAATGATTACGTACATGGGGCCGTGAGAGAAGCTCAGGACATAAAGTAGGCAACGCAACCACTCCTTTCCTTCAAGAGTCGTGAGCCAGTCTGAGATATGTATCGTGATACACAAAGGACCGTTTCTTGCTTCCGCCTTGCTAGACTAGCGTACCCACATTTTTCACATCCACTGCTGCCTAGGCGGCGCTGGCTTCGATGCAGAACAGCCAGGCAGCTGGCCAAACATTAGACCCGAACGGCAAAACTGAGTGCAACACCTGGGCCGGCACGGAAACGGAAAGAGCGCCTCAAACACATTGGCCGAAATTACTCACACCACCGTTCGTACTGCCACCCCTCGCTCCTCCTCCTCCTCCTCCTCCTCCTCCTTTTCCTCTTCCTCCTCCTCCTCCTCCTCCTCCTCTTCCTCCCCCTCCTCCTTCTACCTCTCTCCTCCTCCCTTGGCCTCGTCCTCCTCCTCCTCCTCCTCCTCCTCCTTCTACATCCCTCCTCCTCCCTGGCCCGTCCTCCTCCTCCTCCTCTCTTCCCCTCCTCCTCCTCCTCCTCCTCCGCCCGCTCCGCCTCCGCCTCCGCCTCCGCCTCCTCCCTCCTCCTTCCTCCTCCTCCCTTTCTCCTCCTCCTCCTCTCCTCTTCCTCCCCCTCCTCCTTCTACCCTCCTCCTTCCTCCCCTCGTCCTCGTTCTCTCGTCCTCCTCCTCCTTCCTCCTCCTCCTCCTCTTCTCGTCTCGTCCTTCTCCTCCTCCTCCTCCTCCTCCTCCTCCTTCTCCTCCCCCTCCTCCTCCTCCCCCTCCTCCTCTTCGGGCGCGCTGGGAAGCCTATTGGGGCCCTCTTGGGCTCTCTTAGGGCCCTCGGGGCCCTCTTGGCCGTATTGGGGCCGTCTGGCCCTCTTGGCTCTTTGGGGCCTCTGGGCCGTCTTGGGCCCGTCTGGGGAAGAAACGGGCCATGGGAGCCGCCCGGGAGCCGCTTCACTCGAAACAATACGAGGGAACGGGCTATTAGACCAGGCGCCTACGCCTCGCACCCCCCCTGGACCCCCCCATTTAGGGCTTCGCCCCTTACTCAACGTCACTCGCTCGTACCTCGCTCTTTCCGTCATACAGGAGCGGCATGTGTGAAACGTGCTTGCGGCATGTTGGCAAGTTCTAATGTGTATGAATTGGATGGCCTACGCCCGAAAAGCGTGCGTGACCCCAGCAAGCCCTTATACTGCGAACGGAGAAACACACACACACACACACTCGTAGTTTTCAGAAACAAAGCCTCCCTACATATGGGCGGGGGAACGTGCAAGGTAGAGAGCTAGCTCAACTCAAGATCTCAAGGCGGTATGTCAGCCCAAAATCTCATGCCCCTCCTGTCACTGAGGCGGCCAGCCCACGACAATTATTCCAGCGATCTCAAAACGCAGTGCCTGAGAAGTGCTGATGACTAACTCATGAACCACTGCGTACGCCAACTTGCTGTAGTCATCTTCCCCATGGCCACAGGCGGATTCTTCGCGAACGCAAGCATTTTCCCAAGTGGCTGTTTGTTTGATGTTCTCGCTGACCTCCGATGGTACAGAGCTCTTGAGATACTAGCCAGGAGGCCAATGTAGTATCGCAGAGGCAGCAAACGTCAGCGCATTCATGTAGGTCTTCTCCAGAGCACGAGCAAGAGAGCAACGGGTCTCGAGGATGCGGCAACCAAAATGGAAACCACATCGTAGAGTCGTAGAAGTCGCTGTGCGTCGCAGCATCCGTCCAACCATCTGCCCAACAAAGAGAAATCGAGGCACGGCAGGGGTCGGCAACGGCATCGTACTGACCCACTCCGTCTGGGATGCCTGGAAGCTCTGCGCCGGGACTATACGTACCCTCCTTTGTGATACGACTTTACATACAATCTGCTTCGCGCCGAGGTGGCACACGTCTGTTTTTTTCCCTGCGACGAGGGACACGAGCTTGGAGCGCCGCTGGGCCAGGGACCTGCGCTTCTGCAGCCAAGCCCGGGGGCGGCAACTGGTCTTCAGGCGTCCGTCGCGGCCTGGCTCGGGCACGTCGTTTCCGCGCGGTCTGCGCTGGCGCTGAGGGCCACAAGAGCCGCGTCGCGGATCATAGCACTGATCTCAAGGCTGAAAGGGGCGATGTTCTCGGCCGCAGGCTCCTGGGCGGGCGGCGCGATCGCGGGGGAGGGGCCCCCGCCAGAGCCTCTCGCCATCGGAGCGCTCGCTGCGCTCTGCGCGCCTTGTCTCTTTTTCCCCGTCGCACCGTGGTGGGTGAGGCGGGGGGGGGGTTACGGGCCAGCGCGTCGCCGCCCGCGTGCTCTTCGCGTTGTCGTCTCGTCCGTCGTGCGCCAGAGGCAACCGAGCTGCTTGCCCTGGGCGTTGACCGTGTCCGCTGGGCCAACCAAGTTTCCCCTCGCCTTCTTGAAGGCCGGGTGGTTCTCTGCGTCGATCGGCTCGTCGTTGCTAGACTTGCCTACCCACTCGCGGAGACGTTTGATGGTTGCCGTCAGTCCCGTGCCCGAGGGAAGCCTACTTGTCTTACTCTCGAAGAACGAGGTCACCGCTTGGACTGGGCTCGTCGCCGCGTCAGGGGTCTGCTTCGGCGCCTGCGCTCCAGCTCCCGCACTGGGGAATGCTTGTGGATTGCTGGGTTGCTGGGCCAACATCTGAAACATCTGGTTCATCTGGCCCATGGTCTGCATCTCTGACATCATGGGCCGTCATGGGTTGGCCGTGCCTCCGAATGGCTGGCCCTGGCCCTTGCCGCCGCCGTTGTGCGAGTATCCCAATTTTTCCACCCTTACCGCCCTTCGTCCAGCGGTTGCCGCCCATGGCAATGCTATGAGAAGGGTCTGGGGTCGTGCAGCGGCCTATCGTGTGAGCCTGCGCGATGGCCCTGGCTTCAGCAAAGGCAGCTGTATTAGGCGCGTGCAAGAGGCCAGATGTGAGCGCGCGTGGTGAACGCCAGCCTGGCGCATGTCCGCAGGAGGCTGCATCAGTGCCCTGGGGAAAGACCGAATTCAATATAACCTTGATCAGCGATCGCGGGTCGCCCCGGCGGAGGCAGACCAATGCGTCCGCGCAACGCTAGACGAGTAGGTTTTCCCGGATGAAAGCTAGACGCTCCCAGCGATGAAGCCGACGCTGTAGTTGACTGCAACTTTGCAGACGTATTTGACGATTGAGCAAGCCCAAGTACGGGGAGATGCTGCGTTTTGCCCTGCGAGGAACATCCCCTGTCAAAACAACCGCTTCACTTTATGGATGCAAATGCACCGACCCCCGGGACCCAACTGAATTCAACGCGCAACTTCATCTAAGTACGGAACATAACGCTACCCTGAACAGCGCGACCAGTATTTGCCGCATCAAATAATACCGTCGTACCATGCGCGTCATGCACATGCGGGCGTATGCACTTATGGCGCATGGTGTAGGCGCGTAGTGGCAAGTCATTCACATACCTCCAGCGCACCACTTTTCTGTTTTCCACGCAGAATCCGAAGAGGCACTCGCGCTCCGAGAACGAGTGTAATAAGTGATCGGGCTTAGTGGCTCAATCGGGGTGCCCTGCCACTGCGCAAGACAGAACCCTGCGCGCAGGAAAAAAGCGGAAGCCCATGAATCCTGTAAGGGCTCGGCGCCACGCCGAAAGGCGGTAAGCAATCCAATCCCAATGCATGCTTGTTATGGCGCAGCCAGGGAACGCGTGTGCCCCGCGGGCCTTCAGGTCTGAAATACATGGAGATGGGAAGCGGCGCGTGGCACGAGTGAACCGACCGTCGATCGCCTTCCATACTCGCGCAAGACGAACGGCCTCATGGGCCTGTCCCGCATCTGCCACGAATGCGCATGGACAAATCAGTGTCGCCACGCAGACGGCGCCGATGCAACGTGTGTGGTTATCCGATGCCAGCCCGCAATCTCGCCCGGTGGCGAAGCCGGCGAAGACCGCCGAGCGGGCGCGCGCGAGACGACCGCCGGCCGCCAGACGGTGTTGGGGTGCTCGTCCTCTCCCGTCCCCGCGAGCGGCGCGGCCCGAGGGCCCGCGTGCCCGCGCGTCCCCTGGCGCGCGCATGCTGGCGCACATCGGGGCGGGGGGGGGGTCGCGAGGTGGGGGCGTCGGCGGCGCGATGGAGCGCCCGCGCCAACCGTCTGAGAAACTGGCCACTTCGCGCAGGCAGAGCGAGTGAAGCTGGCTGCCTCCTCCTTCGAAGGCAAGGGTGCTGGCGCGCGCCCGTTGAAGGCGCGACGTATCGTGACCGATCCGGTCGCGGCCCCCTCAAGCTCACAATGTGGTAGGTCGCCAATCTCTTCCAAGGATAACATCAGAAGCCTGCTGAAAATGCGCCTGTATTTTTGGCGTAATCTGGGGGTGGGCCCTGATTATGTGATATGTGATTTGCATTGTTGGTCGCTCAAGGGCCAGGCGTCCTGGGGCTCTTGAAAGACCATGGGGGCCGCTTGCGAACGTGT